TCACCTCAGCCTCCCAAAGGCGCGGGATTACAGGCTGAGCCACTGAGCCCGGCTTCAGCAATCCTTTTTAAACATCATGTTATTGTATTGTTACAGGCTGAAAAGAGGCCATTTTGGTTCTATTAGGACAGTCATTTAGAAAAGACTTAGAAACTTGTATTAAGAAACTTTCTTTTGTAGCTGAGTTGGGCTGAATGTAGAAGCCACTTGAATTTTTGTGTTTTGTTTTGAGTTGGAGTCTCACTCTGTCGCCCAGGCTGGAGTGCAGTGGCAGGCTCACGGCCACCCCAGCGCTGACCTGCTGGGCTCTGGTGATCCTTCTGCCTCAGCCTTCCAGGTAGTTGAATTTTTAAAAATTGTATTTTATCATAGAGTCATGGGTTACAAGTGAAGATTAACTACATAGGTAGGCTGCATGCAGGTGAAGTTTGGACTTCTAACTGGCCCTCCCCCTGCTAGTGGACCAGGTACCCTTTCTGTTGTCACATGTCCTCCGTCCTCCTTCTGTCCCTCCCTGAGCAGTGCCCAGTGACTGTTGATCCCACCCTCGTGCTCATGTGACCAATGTTCAGAGCCCACTTATGAGTGAGAACATGTGGCGTTCAGTTCCACTTGAGTTTAAAAGTGCACATTTTTCCTTTCCCCACACTACCCTTGGGGTGTGGCCACCCCCCCTTCTCCCTTCACCCAGCCTTGTCCTACTGGTCTGGAAGGCCAATCTTATCTAGTAAGCCATTGCTGGTGCTGGAGAAGAAACAGCCGGTTACACCAGATCACCTGATAATTAGGAAACATGGAGAACAGCCTAAGGCTGGCAGGAGTGTGTCTGAAAGCCTGGTGTGGACATTGCCCACTTCCTCTCCATCGGTGAGTATGCCGGTATTGGACATGGGATTGTTACAGTCCGGGGCTCTGGAAATAGGGGATTGTTACATTGTGTCTTAAAATAGTTTAAAGCTATCATTTTCAATGTTGTGACTTTCAGGCTATCATTTTCAATGTTGTGACTTTCCCTTCCTTCCAAATGTTGCAATTGTCTGTCCCTTCCTCTGGAAAACTGTAAAAGAACAAGTAGTAAATTCCAGAATGTTATCTGAAAATGTCAGCATGACCAGGAGACTTTCGTGGTAAGAAAATTCTGAGTCATGCTGAAATTGCACGTAGGCTTCAAGCTTGGGGTTGGTGAAGGGCTGTTAATTGTGGATATAAATACTTAAACGAGTTTGTGTTGCTTTGAGTGGGTTTTTGGTCATGCCAACCCATCTCCCTTGGTTGCAGAAATTAAACTTTTCTCCCAGTTTTTTGCCTCTCGTCTTTGATTGGCTGTGAGGAATAGCAGCCAGTTTGTCAGACGGGTCGAAAACAGTGCTACAAACAGTAAGTTGACACACGTCACAGTAAGGGGGACTTTGCTCACAAACACAGAGTGCTGACAACACGGCCATCAACACAGCCTTCCGTACAAGGCCCAGCTGCTGCCATGTGGCCACTAACCAGTCTACAGTCTATTCCTAGGACTGTAGAGAAGCTTGCAGTCTCAGGAGTCCCTGGAAGTCTGGGATGGGGATGCCCTTGGCAGGGTGTGGAACCCGTCTTGCCGGCCCACATGGAATGTCTGCAGGAGGGCCCTCAACCTGGCTGCCCCCACACTCCCAGCTGCAGCCATATAGAGCTCCTCAGCCCTGTCCCCTGCCCCAGGCCTGGCCCAGGAAGCTCAGCTTGTTCTCACAGCACCCCAGAGCTCGGGCCAGGCCTCCCCTCTGGACGGTGGGGCCCAGGAAGGACTGGACTGGTTGCAGGGGCTGCACTGAGTATGGGCTAGCCAGGTTGCTGCCTTCAGTGGCTGAGTCCAGCTCCCTGGGGCCAAGGTCGGCCATGCGGGCAGTGCCTGTCAGGCCACCACTCAGTGGGGTCCAGGGTCTTATGGGAGGAACTAGTTCCCTGTGAGCAGTGCGAGGGAAGCCCAGAGGAAAAGCCCATCCGGGGACACTGCTAATCACAGGGTCAGGAGCCCACTCAGCGTGGGCTGGGGGTGGGCCATGATGGCCTGGCATCACCACTGATGAAGCCCCGCCCCCGCTTCCTTCCTCTCCCTGGTATGGCTGGGTCCCACTGTCACCTCGGGCATCACCTCAGATACCTTCAAACAAATCACACACATGTTTCCCAACTGGCAGAGCCCGCGCAGGTCCAAATGGCCAGGATATGAGAGAAAGAACCTTCCGGCACTCTGCAACCCACCTGACACTGGCTCCCACTTTCTGGTACCAAGTAATTGTCTATGAGACAGACACAGGGCCCGTCTGCCAAGTGAGCTGGGTTGGCACTGGGCGGCTTACCATGGCAAAGCCCACGTCTGCCTTCTTGAGGGCCGGCCCATCGTTGGTGCCATCCCCGGTCACGGCCACCACCTGCCGCTGCTCGCCGGTGGTGCTGTCGATAATCCCTGGAAGACAGGATGGGTCAGGGCAGGCCTGGTGCCATCTGTCACCATGGCCCTGTGTGGCCTGCCTCGCTCACTTGTTCAGGGGGTAGGAGAGGACACAGGGTGGTGTGGCTTGGCAGAAGGGAGGGATTGTATGACTGGGATGTGTCTCCTGCTCCCGGGCCTCTGTTTCCCCATGTGTTATGATGTGAGGGTAGCCTCTATGGGCGCTGATTGCCTGGGTGTTTGCCATCCACCCCGTTAACCCACAGCAGCTGAGTTGGGCAAAAGGCTTCTGGGCCTTCTGCTGAAAGGGGTGCTGAGCCCTGGCACTTCAGCCCTCTGAGCCCTGAGGGAACTGGGGTCCAGGGAGGGCCGGGGACTTGCTCCGAGGACAGGGCTTCCCAGGCAGGCTCTGGGGACCCATTTGGGAGCACGGCTTTGGGCGCCAGCCACCTGGGGAAGGGGCGAGCGAACTGGTTTACCTTTGACCAGAGTGTGCTTGTCGGTGGGAGATGACCGGGCCAGCACCCTCAGCTTGGGCCACACCTTGTCCAGCCGCTCCTGTTCTATCTGGGGGGAAGCACATGGGTGCTGCAGAGCTAAGGCAGGCGGGCAGGGATGGGGCGGGAGGGGTGGGGTGGAAGAAGCAACCAGAACCCAGGTCTGGACGGCAGACAGCGGGCGCTACCTCGCCTTTCTCGTTGCGGATCCGCCGGTTGAACTCCTTCCCCTCCAGGCATAGGAAGTCCTCCCCGGGCTGGATAATGCCACACTTGGCTGCGATGGCCCGGGCCGTGTTGATGTTGTCCCCAGTCACCATGCGGACCGTGATGCCAGCACGCTGGCATTTTCGGATAGCTTCAGGGACCTGGAAGGACCAAGGCACGTTCTGTGTGGTCCTGCTTCCCTCTATTCAGAGCTGCAGGCAGCCCGAGGGCCAACAGAGCTGATGGCATAGTCCCCGTGGTCCTGAGGCAGGGCCCTGAGGAGGGCTGGGCCCAGAGGAGGCACAGAGAGAGGTGGGACTGTCCCCCACCCCGTGCCTTCCTCAGGCCCTCAGCCCACCTCCCCCAGTGCCTCCTTGACCATGTTGGACCCTGGGTACGCCAGGCCCCGGGCACCAGTAGTGACTCAGACTTAGGCCCTGACAGCTTGAGCAAGACTGGGAGATGCCACTGGACAATTGTCTGCTGTTGAGGGACACCATCAAGTTCCGGTTTGCAAACGTCCCCAGGGTGACCATAGACATCACCCAGTTCTTTCAACTTCATTTCCCAGCTGGGAAACTGGTACCCATAGCCGCTGAGCCAGGATGAGCCTGGATTACCAGTGGGCCAGCAGGGCGCACTATGGCCTGTTCCCCTGGGGCCCTGACTCAGGGTGGGCATCTGGGCGCCCCCTCATTTGTCTTTTTAAGTATAAAATCTATGCCGTTTTTCTCAAGAATTAGTCATTTTCTTAGAGCTGTGAAGTTCACATGATGACGTCTTCTCGCTAGTCACCAGGGGACATGGAGTGATGCTTTGGTGTGGAGCGTGTGTTTCAGTTTTTAACACAGATGGCCCTCAGTCAACAGTGGGGCCAGATCTCCTTAAACCTGTCATCGGTTGAAAAGGCACGCAAGCCGGACGTGGTAGCTCACACCTGTAATTCCAGCACTTTGGGAGGCCAAGGCGAGAGGATCACCTGAGCCCAGGGGTTTGAGACCAGCCTGGGCAACTTGGCGAGACCTTATCTCTACAATAAATCAAAAAATTAGATGGGCATGGTGGCATGTGCCTGTAGTTCCAGCTCCTTGGAAGGCCGAGGTGGAAGGATCGCCGGAGCACCTCGGCAGATTTCACCCAGGCCCACGCACCGGGTCCCCTGTGTTCCCTCCTCGGCTGCCACCAGGTTGGCCGGTCTCTGTGGGGGTCTGTGTGGCCTTCCCAGCCTGGCCCTGTCGCTGTGATTTCCCCCAGGACTCTCTCTCAGTCACTCTCAAGCCAGAAAGGAGCCTTCCCTGTTCCCCAAGCCCCTCGGACAAGGCTGTTGTGGTATGAGCACAGCCCTCCCCTGTGCTGCGCTGTAGTTTCTCCCCGTTCCAACAGAGGCTTGCGAGAGGAAAGGCCTGAACCCGTGTCTCCAGGGGTGGCCCGTGCCTCCTCAGCACCCTCTGCCTCTGCCTCTCCCAGGCTCAGCTTGCCTCTGCTGGGCTTCTCCTGTTTGCTGGAATGCTTGCCCAGGCCAGGCCCAAGGTGCCCCATCTCTGCACTGGGGACCGCGTTCTCCTTGGAACAGTGACCGGTGGCTGAGTGTTTAAGATGTAGTAAGCATTGTCGAGTGGAGTGTCTTTGGGGTGTGATCCAACGCACGAATGCCTGTCTCCTGAAGGACAGCCCGGAAGTTTCTCCTCCCGGGTCGCACCTTCATCACTCCTCCCCTACCCCCAGTCTCTACAAGTCAAGTTCTTTGGCTAATTGGCAACATCAACACGCCCCGCTTCTGACACAAGGCGGGCGCCATGGAGAGGCCCTGGGGAGATGGAGAGGCACCCCCATGCCTCGTGCTTCCCCTGAGACCTGCTGTCTTTCCGACCCTCCTTTCTTTCAAGGATCTGCTATCTTTAGACACCAACAACGGGACCTCCCTGTGTCAAGGCCGTCACTAGCCTGCCCTGCTCTCCTTTGCTCTGCACACAGCCCTTGTGACCCTCCTCATCTGGTCTCTGCTGCAGCTGCACACCTGTCCCGGTGACATCACCCATATAGAGATACTTCCGGAATCCCTCTCCAGCCAGGATCTCTGCTAGGTGTCTCCATGAGGACGTCCTCAACGTCATGTGGCCTCAGCCAAATCCTCAACTGAGAAGAGCCCACTCTGTCCCCAGAATCTGTGTCCCTTGGGCTTCAACACCCTATCAGTCCATCAGTCCTGCAGGGGTGGGCTCCCAATGGCGAGGGTCTCATTGCCACCTCTCTCAGCTGGCAGAGGGTGCAGCCAGAGCCAGGCCCATAGGCCAAGTAGGAGGGGGGCCTTCCAGCCGGCAGGACAGAACCTCCGTGTGGGTGCCAGGGTGAGTGGAGGGTCTGATGGGGTGCGATGGCCACGCCCCCTGGAGCCCTGAGGCTCCGCCACTGATGCTTTACCCACCCCTTCTGGATTGTGGCTGGTTTGCTCTACCTATAACCCCGGGAAGGCAGGAAGAAGGGGCAGTTCTCTCCCTGCATATCTGTGTCTGAAGTCCCTACTGTAGAGGCCGCATGTGAAGGAGGCCAGCCTCAGGCGGAGGGCAGGGTTACCAGAGCAGCTCACAGAGAAGAGAGGGGTTACCTCAGGCCGCACAGGGTCCTCAATGCCCACGACAGCTATGCAGGTGAGGTCGCCCACCACCTCATTCTCGTTGTCCCAGTCAGGCTCCTGGCTGGTGGAGAAGTCCCGGTATGCAATGCAGATGGTGCGGAGGCCATCGCAAGCCATCGGCTCGATGATCTTCTTCACCATGTCGTCCCGGTCCCGAGGGCGAAAGCCTCGGAGTTCACCATTACTGTTTAAGATGTTCGTGCACCTATGTCAGGGGGGTAGCAAGGTGGAAGCAGGGATGAAACAAGGAGAAACGCCGGTCACATTGGATTAGGATGGGACCTCAGCCAATGACCAGTGTCCTTATCGAAAGAGAAGAGGACACAGAGAGACACAGACACAGGCGCGAGGGCCATGGGACGACAGAGGCAGAGACTGGAGCAGCAGGGCCACAAGCCAAGGGATGTCAGCTGTCACCAGAAGCTGGAAGAGGCAGGAAGCATCCTCCTCTAGGGGCTCTGGAGGAAGCGAGGCCCCGCCCACACCTGGATTCTACAGCCTCCAAGCCAGCATAGACGGCTTCAGGGAGGAGGTAGCCCTGGCTCTGGGCCATGAAGGCTGTGCCTGGACAGAGCCTGGGGGCAGAACATCCTGGGAGAGGCAGCCAGGCAGGGGTGCACTTCGTGTCTAGTCTTCCGAGAGCAGGGAGCAGGGCAAGCTGGGACTCGCAGGAAATGGAGGCCTCTCTCCCAAAGGCCAGCCAGGGGCCAGGTGGTGGCGGAGGGGACACGAGACTGCCGCAATATTGGACGAAAGAGAGAGGCCAAGGCCAAGGGGAATTATGGAAGCCAGGCGGGCGGTGGTGGTGGGCAGGTTTGCTCGGAGGCGAGGCTGTGTCTACCATTCACTTTAACATCTTTACTGAGATATAATTCACACACTGCACAATTCACACATTCGAAGTAGAATAAAATTCAATGGGTTTTAGCATATTCACAGAGTTGTGCAACCAGCACCAGTGTCTAAATCCAGAACATTTTCATCACTTTCCAAAGAGACCCCACGTAAGCAACAACAACAAAAAGAACCAGTCAGACTTCATCTCAATTTAAGCACAAGTGTACATCTAAAAATACGATCAAGAGAGTAAACAGACAACTTGCAGAATGGGAGAAAATATTTACAGATCATATATCAGATAAGGATCTAGTGTCCAAAGTATTGAGATAATTCTCACAGCTTAGTAACGAAAAGACAAACAACCCAACTCAAAAATAAGCTAAGTATCTGAGTGGACACTTCCCCAAAGAAGACATACACATAGCCACCAGGCACACGCAAAGATGTTCAGCTCCACTGGTCACCAGGAAATGCCGATCAAAGCCGCCGAGAGATCGCACCTGCCACCCACAACGGTGGCTATCATCATTATCATCACCACCATCCTACCAGAAAGAAGTGTTGGTGAGGATGAGAAGAAGGTGGAAACTTGCACACTGCTGGTAGGAATGAACAGTGGTGCAGCTGCTGTGAAAATCAATTTGGAGTTTCCTCAAAAAGTTAGACATGGCTAACACCCGACCCAGAAACACCACTCTTAGGGGTAGACCTAACCTAAGAGAATTGAAAACATACATGCATACACAAAGTCATACACGCATGTTCCTAGCAGCATCATTCACAATAGCCAAAAAGGCAGGAACAGCTTGTGTCCATCAGCAGAGGAATGAATAAACAAAATGTGGTCTATCCATCTGATGGAATATTCCTCAGCCTTAAAGAGAAAGGAAGTTCTGATATGTGGGTGAATCTTGAAAATGCTACATTAAGAGAAAGAAGTCAGACACAAAAGGCCACATACTATGTGATCTCATTTCTATGAAATGTCCAGAATAGGCCAGTCCACAGGGACAGAAAGCAGATGAGTGGCTGCCAGGGGCCAGTGAATGGGAAGTGACTGCTGCCTGGCCTGGAGTTTCTTTTTGGGGTGATGGAAGTGTTTTGGAACTGACTGGCGGCGACAGTTGCATGGCAAGGAGAATGCATTCAATGCCACTGAACTGTATACCGGAAAGTGACTGAAATGGTCCATTTTCCATGGGACATTTTTCTATCACAACAGCGGAAAGAGAAACTGTGACCATCCCCTTTAACTCGTCCCATCTGCCCCAGTCCGGTGCCCTCCTGCGTCTACTCACTTTTTGAGCAGGATCTCCGAGGCACCCTTGCTGAAGAGGCGGAAGCCGCCATCGGGCCTGCGGATGACCGTGCTCATGGACTTGCGGACTGAGTTGAAGGTGTACACTTTGTACAGCTTGTCTTCCGGGACCTGCTCCCGCACTGGCTGGAAGTCCCGCTTCAGGTCCAGGACGAAGCCCAGCAGCGCGCACTCTGTCTTGTTGCCCACTTGGCGTGGGAGGGCTCCTTCCTTCTCTGGAGGCTGTAAGGCAAGGAGGGCCAGCATGGCACCGGGGCCCTGAGACCACCTTCATGGCTGACCCTGGGGTCCCAGCTCCTGCCCCGCCGTGGCCACCACGGTCGTTAGGGTGTGGGAGGCAGGTTTCCCATCGTCCACCAGGCTCAGATGGGTCTTCCGGAATCTGCAGGCCCCGCCCAGCAGCCAGAGTCACTCTGTCCGGCCAGGGGCAGGGAGGAGGGCGACGAGCGGCCAGAGACCACTGTAGCTCTGGTCAAAAGTTCTCAAGGGAGCCCAGTGAGCCACGCACGCCGTGCCTGGCCCGGCCCCACCCCTGGTCCCACATAAGCCCCGCCCCCCTCGCCCCCTCCCCGGCTCACTAGTATTTTGGTGGTGTAGGCACTGTTGATGGAGATGGCATGGACCAGGAGGTCGAGAATCTTGGGCGTCAGGGCGCTGGGGGCCGGAACCTCTTTGTAGTGGGTGTCTCCTAGGTAGGACTGGACCACGGTCATGCGGTTGGTGGTAAGCGTGCCCGTCTTGTCTGAGCAGATGGCCGTGGCATTGCCCATGGTCTCGCAGGCATCCAGGTGGCGTACGAGGTTGTTGTCTTTCATCATTTTCTGCAGAGGGCACGGACAGGGGTGGGAGGGTCTTGGGCTGTGAGCTCATCCGGGGAGGGGGCCGGAGATGTCAGCACAAACAGCTCTGCGTGTAGCACTAACAGCCCGCCGGGGACCTCGGCCAGCACTGGGTTTAAGGCAAGGCTGGAAGACGTCAGGAACCTCATTCAACCAGGGAGCTCCCCAGGGTCCCCTCTGGGTCGCCCCTTGGTCCTGAGGCTGCCTCCCATCTGGCCCGCCCTCCTCCCGTGGCCTCCATGCATCCCAGGCCCTCTTCCGCGGCCCCTGCCTCCCCGGCGCCCTCTGCCGGTGCCCTCGATTTCCCAGCCCCTCTGTCCTCGCCCACCTGTGTCCTGCAGGGACCACACCCCCAGTGCAACCCACTGCCTGCCTGCTTTTTGGCTTATCTCACGGTGCTGGAGACCTGGGTGGGGAAGGCCCTGGGGGCTCCCTGTGCTGACGGGCCTCTCCCCACCCCCCGAGTGCCCATACCTTCTCCAGTCTCCACTGCCTACCCGCTTCTGGTCTGTAAATGGTGTCAAGGGCAAGTATTAGGATCACCTTGACAGAGTAAGCTAAGGAGATGGTGACAGCAAGAGGCAGGCCTTCCGGGACAGCCACGACCAACACGGTGACGCCGATGATGAAGAACTTCACAAAGTACTGCACGTAGACGGGCGTGCACTCCGCCTGCCACGTCCGGCCGTCCACGACAAAGGTCTCGATCACAAAGTAGAGGACCAGGATGATGACAGTGATGGCAGACATCACCAGCCCTGTCAGGGGGAGGAGGAGTCAGGAAGGGGGTTGCCAGGGGCGAGGGAGAGAGAGAAGAAGAGGAAGAAGAGGTGTGAGCTCAGCCGTGGTGGCCAGCGAGAGCCAGGTCAGTGCCTTGTCGAAGGGCTTGGGCTCGGCTCTCAGGGTGAACAGGGCTGGTAGCACAGAGGCCTGGGGTGGCCTATGTCGAGTCCCTCAGAAGCCAGGGTACTGTCGATGGGCCCTCCTGCTGCTGGTTGCCTTGTGATGGTGTCACGGGCAGGGGAGCCCAATGGGCAATGGGTTGGCATGTGACCCAGGGCCTCTGCGGAGGGTCTGGGATTTATGCTCCCTGCAGGAGGCTCGTGCAGGTCCTGACGGCCATCGCTGGCCCTGCCTCTGACCTCAGCTGCCTGGCTCACGCGCCACCTGCCACATCCTCTCCCACTCGCTCTCCGCGGCCTGGGCTCGTCTCCAGGAGCTCGTCCTCCACGCCCGGTCAGTTGTCCCTACCTGCCTTCCCGATCTGCACGGCCAGTTTCGTGAGCTTCCCCTGAAGGACTGACTTCTCCTTCTTGGGCACATTGGCTTTCTTCTTCTCCCGCTCCTCCATCTCCCCGCCCTCCGCGCTCTTCAGGGGCTGCATTTCCATGGCAACTGCCCCATCTTGCTTCTTAGCTGCACACAGAAGAACCCCACGGCCGAGGTCAGGGCCTGGCTGCGGTGAGGGGCTTACAAGGGGCTTTCACCGGGAAAGACACGCCACACCATGAGAGCACAGAGCTCGGTGGAGTGCTCTTGTTTCTAGAGTTAACATTAATCTCTTATGATACAGTTGAACGTGGCACAGAGTCTATCACTACCCTTCTCCCACCTCCTAAGCTCAGGCCCTCCCAGGATAGCACCAGTACTGTCCTAGGTGACAGGGAGATGGTTCCCTCTGGGGAAGCGAGGATAGACACAAACACAGACAGGGTGACCAGTCCTGGAATGCCCCACATCTCAATACCTGGGAGCAGAGGCCTGTGGCCCAAGGAATGTTCCAGAACCTCGAGCTGATTCATCTGCCCGCTGGTGTCTCCAGGAGCCCCGGTGAACTCTCCTCCCACCAGCCAGCCCTGTGCCCTGCCCAGGCAGCCTCTGCTCTCCGGCCGTGGGCAGGTCCATCCAGCTACCTCCCCACCTCTCCCCCGGAGCAGACAGCTCCCTTCAGTCTTTCCCCTCATCCTCACTGCCCTTGGTGTGGTGGTGGCTTGTCGCCCAGCGCTGGCCCCTCCTCTCCCCTTTCCTCTCCTCAACTCCCTCCCCACCAAGTTCTGGCTGCCCCCACACCAAGGCCCAGAGGAATCATGTCCAGCCCTACCTGTTCCCTCTGCACCTGGGAACAGCGACCCAGGACTTGTCTTTCTTCCTTCGTGTCCCATTCATGAGGGTGCTTGGCACTGCTGCCATCATCTCTGCCTCCTCCTCACCTGGCAGCTCAGGGCCACTCACCATGGCTCCTTCCTCCCAGTGGCCTCACGGACACGGCCCACCCTGCCCAGCTGGGCCACTCTAGCTTGTGCCCCGTGTACTGCCACCTCTCAGCCCAGGGCTCCAGCCATGAGACTGTGTCCCAAATGCCCCCCAACCCTTGTGCTGCGCCGGGCGATGGGTCTGGCCCCGTCACGGGCCTCTTCAGTGCTGCCCTGCGTTGTCCCTCTGCCCATGACCTTCCCGAGGGCCGGGCCCATCCTTCATCTGCCTTTGGACTCCCAGCCCTAGAGCTGGCTGCTGCTTGGCCCTGACATCCCCACGCCTCCGTGGGCCACCGTCTGCCATCCCACCACTGCTGCTTCCTACAGCTCATGACTGGGCACAAGCCAGGCCTGAACGTCAACACACCCAGGCATTCAGGGCTGAGGGGAGAGCCAGGCCTTGGCCCTCAGCCGGCCACTCTGTCCACCCAGCCCACTGGCCCAGCTGGAAGGGAGCTGACCTGGAAATCCCACTGATGGGGATCCAGAGCTTTGGGCAAGTCACCCTCTGTGCCTCAGTTTCCTCATCTGGCCAAAGTGGACCCAGGGTGCCCACTCATGGGTGATTGTACGCCCATGTTAGGCCAAGGCATGGATACACTGGAGCTCTGCTGTGTCTGGACAGGATGCCTGGAGTGGCCTCAGGGCTGCGCCCTCTCCTCCCTCTGTGCCAGGATGGGATGGTGGAGCCCACTCACCTGGTGTCCAAGTGCTGCTCCTGCCGCCAAGGTGGGCAGCCCCTCCCCCCGCACCATGCCCTCCACCAGCCCCACCCCCAGGACTCCAAGCAGCCACCTGAGCCGCGCCCATTACCTTTGGTCTGGCTACTCTCCATCGCCCCATCCTGCTGCTTGCCTACAACGGAAGAGGGACGACAGACACGAAGGCTTGAGAGCACCCGCGTGCATGCACACACACACACACAGAGACGATGGGGGGCCCTGATGGCTGGTGGCCCTGACTGCTGCCCATAGGGGCACCTTCTCCATGCTCTGTACTCTCCAGGCTCACCATGTCACCCCCAGCACATGGTTACCAGGGACACTCTGGCCTTCCTGAGCAAGACCCCTGGCTGGCCCCCACCTTGGACCTTGAGCCCAGCCCTAGAGTGAACTCCCAAAGCCAGCCCTGGACAAGCTCTGCATTACATGGGGCCAGCAGTGGGAGGTTTCTGGAAGCAGGGTCCATCCCCGGTTGGGAGCTCTGCTCCCCCAAACCAGCTTGAGGGGTTCACCTAGATGACCTGGAGGTGAGATCTAGGACTCTGCCAGCCCTCAGGCACCTACTACATGCCTCTTGGTCACTGGTCAACCCAGGGTGGGGCTGACTTATGTGCCCAGGGCCACTGCACGGAAAGGCTGGCCTGAGTGCCGGCACCCAGTGGCGCTGGTGGGAGCGTGGGTGTAGGACAGGCTGGGCCGCAGGTGGCCCTGTCCGGGGGCTCAGGGGGTAGGTGCAGCCCTCTGGGGACCACAGGGCCGGCCATGCCTTCAGCAGGCTGCAGTTAGAGAACCAAGGCAGGAGGGTCACCACCCAGTAGCTCATATCACTAGCGAATTCAGGTGGCTACCAGGCAGCGGGGTTCGGGTCCCCGGGGAGGAGGCAGAGGCCCCCTCCTGGCCAGAGACAGGGCACGGAGTAGGTCCTGTCTGCCCAGGGCTGCTGTGGGGGTTGAGGGGGCAGTTCAGAGGGAAGAGAGGCTTCTTGGAGGGGGGAGACACCTGTAGACACATGATGACAGTATAATGACAATATGGCACAACAAAGGACACATTGCTGGGACTCCAGAGCCATGGGGTGGAAGGAAGGGTGGACCATAGGCAAGGAGAGGCCTCTGGAGGAGGAGAGAGGGAGGGAGGATGGGCATTTCAGGAAGAGGACGAATGGGCCTGCAAGGAGAGGGGACAGGAGTGGGGAGAGATGGGGGAAGGAGGACACATGGAGAAGAGGGTGCGTAGGAGTCACAGTCCAAAGACAAGAAACAGAGGGTTGGGGGAGCATCTTAGGAGAGAGGCCCAACAAGCTGGCCAACCAGTGGGAGGTCAGGGAGGCAGTGAGGGGAGGGTGGGGGTGAGTAGGGAAGCCACCCAGCACCACCGCCCCTCCCCAGAGCCCGGCCAGCTGCTGCTCCCTGCCAGGGCCCCCTCAGGCTCCAGGAAGTTGGCCCCACTCTGACTCTTAAGTAGCACAGCCCGAGGGTGCTGGAGAAGAGGAGAGGCGGCCTGGGAAGGACTGGGTTGTCCTGTCAAGGTCAGAGGAGGGGCCGGGAGCAAGCTGAGAAAGACATGATCTTTGAGGAACAGAGCGGGAGGGAAGGGGCCTGGGCAGGGTGCGCAAGAGACACCAGGAGACTGTTGCTTCCAGGACGCTAAAGGAGAGAGCCTTGGGGTCCCCGGAAGGCCCCTGTGGAAGGGGCTCCTTGCCAACCTGCAGGGTCAGCTGGGATTCGCTGGAGAGAGGCCAAGGACTGGTCTGTCTGCCTGCGCACCCCAGGGCACCCACTGGGGAGGGACACCGAGCCGAGTCCTGCAGGGACAGGGGGCTTGGTGTGACACAGGGAGACACATGCCCACAGAAGCTTCTAGACAACAGCAGCTCCTCCAGCAACTCTGTCACTGCCTCAGTCCAAGTGGTCTTGACTCCCTCCCCAGCTCGCCGTCCCCAGGACCCCGCTGGAGGCTTTCGGCCCTGCGTTCTCCCACACAGGTGAGGCTTCCTACCTGGTTCGGGCTACAGGAGGGAACGAAAGGCAAACCCAGGCCACAGCAAGTCCCCTCCATGCTGGCCTCCACTGGCTGGCCCTTCTGCTCTGCCTGCCTGTCCCTCTGACTCCGTTCCTGCCCAGGCATGCATGGCCCAAAGCCATCAGGCCACCCTGTACCAGCGCTGGAAAGTGGCAGGCAGTGTTGCCTTACCTTTCTTATCCTTCTTCTCTTCCTCCTCACCGCCAGCTCCAAGCAACGTGAAGATGATGCCTGTCTGAGAGTTCACACCAACAGCGGTCACCACCATTCTTCCAGAACCTTCCATGACATGAGTGCCTGGCACAGCAACACAGAGAGACTGAGACAGGGCTTTGCACCCCCTGGTGGGCAACATGCTCAGGGAATCCCTGAAGCAGGGCCTTGACATCCAGAAGCTGCCAGAGACTGTGTTGACCTTCAGTCTCTTTGTCCTGTTTCACACTGTATTCACCACTGGGATGAACATGGGGCCGAGCCAGAACCTTCTGGAAAGGAAACACTGCCCCCACCAGATTTCCGAGGGTCTGGATTCGGCAGGAGCACGGCACTGTGCTGACCGCCAGGAAGTCTCTCCTCTTGGGGCTTCCCATTCAGGACGCAAAGAGCTCCCCGCGCTGGGAAGACCCCTTCTTTCCCTTGTGGCTAGAGCTGTCCCCACTAGGCCTTGTGGTGTGTGGAGGCCTCAGACTCCCCGACTAGGAGGGCTATTCAGAGAGGCCCCAGTTGACGCCAGGCCTGGCGGGCTGGCTTGGACACGGGTGTGGGGCCAGGTGGCTTCCAAGGCGACTGATGTGGCCCTCACCTGAGAGCAGCATGGGGTCTTTGTCGGCTGACTTGCGCACGTGATCTGACTCGCCTGTCAGGGAGCTCTCATCAATCTTGAGGTCGTTGCCCTGGATAAGCACGCCATCGGCAGGCAGCAGGTCTCCTGCAGGATGCCCGGTGGCCAGAACCAGAGGCTATGGTCCCTGGGGCCCTTCTTCCACTGTCTCCTCCCGGCTGCCCCAGGGGAGGTCCCAGCAGACGTGATAGGCTGCCTGGAAAAGGGACTCCGGAGCCCTCTTCCTGGGTCTCCTCTGTTCACCCCCACACCGAACGTGTTGTCTAGCCCCTGGGGCGTGGGGCAACTTTTGCTCCCTTCGCAGTGGGGGAGCCCTCGGCAGAGGCTGGGAGGGGCCTGCTTTCTGTGGGTGCTGCTGTGCCTGACACCCTGCCCCTCCACCTGCCCCGTGTCCCTCCCCTGTCTCCAGCATCCTGCAGGTGAAGGCTCACGTGCTGCCGGGAGAGAGTGCGCTGGGGGCCTCCTCCTCTGGCCCTCCCCGGGAAAGGGAGTCGGGCTTCCTTGGCAGGGTGGGCGAAGATCGGTGCACTCACCGTACTTGACCTGGGCAATGTCCCCCACCACCAGCGCGGCCACGGGGACCTGGAGGAGCTGCCCGTTCCGGATGACCGTGAACTTCTGCTCCTGCTCGATTCGGCTCTGCAGGCCTCGGAACTGCTTCTCTTTGCTCCAGTCATTGAAAGCTGTGACCAGCACCACGCAGATGACGGACAGCAGAATGGCGGCCCCTTCGATCCAGCCGGCCTCGGCCTCGCCTTCGTCTTCTGCCCCGCCTGACACATTCCCACACGCTGCCCGGGAAGGAAGGGAAGCAACAGAGGAGAGGTCATGTGAGCCCGCAAGCCCACTCACCGAGAACCCTGCCGCCCCATGACCCTCCTGTCATGTCAAGGCCCTCCTTCCAATCCGGGCCTCTCGCCCTCACCTTCGCTCTCCTCTCCGGGCGGCGCATAGAACGAGAGGCCCAGAGAGACAATGGCGGCCACCTCCAGGATGATGAGGGTCACGTCCTGCAGGGCTTCCCACACCAGCTGCAGGAAGGTCTTGGGTTGCTTGGGGGGGATGAAGTTCTGTCCGTAGATCTGCCTGCGCTTTTCCAAGTCATTGGTGTTGTCTGCCAGGCCTGCACAGCGCCCAAGAAGCACAGAGAGACAGACCTTCCAGACCGGAAACTCCAAGAAGGCAGAACCTGCCCAGGCCTGGTGCCGTGAGCCTTTCTGTGAACCCTTGGGTGTGTGTGGAAGCGAGGTGTGGCCCCTGCGGCAGCCATCACGGGGAACCCCTAGCACGAGAGAAGGCAGTCACCCTCGTCCTGGTTCCCAGCTACCTCATGACCACGGACCCCAGGTCCCTCGGCTACACTCCTGGTCCCCAAGCTGTCCTGCACACGAGCTCCAAGGGGGGATTCCAAGAAAAGGGAAAATACCCGAGGAGGAGCACAGTGGGAAGCCAACAGGGCCAGGTATGGCCGGGGGCGCCTGGAGGGGAGCAGAAGAGAGGAGCTAACCGTGTCCTGGGGAGGAGGGCAAGCTCTAGGGCTATGCGACCGGGGATGTGGGAGGGTCACCAGTCAAGGGAGGTGGGGATGCCATTTGCCTGGTTGCCACCAGATGCCAAAGACTTTCCAGGGCCCTCTCCGAAGGGGCCTTTTTCCCTGCCAGGAAAGACTTCTGTAGCGCCCTGTCTCCTTCAGAGCGGGCTAGTCATCGGGCCTTGACCACGCCCCTGATCCCTGGCCAGATGCAAGTTCTTGGGTTCCAAGAGAACTCTTCAGGCCTTCTCTGGGCCTTGCTGGGGCTCGCTCACATGGTGTGCAGGGAACACTACCGGTCCAGAGCTCATGGCATGCTCTTCAGACACATCTGCCTCTTCCTCACGTCTTCTGGCAACCCGGCTCCAGTGCCAACCTCAAGCCCTGAGTTGTGGCTCATGGCCAAGGGCAGGGATGGGATGTGGGCCCCCACTGCGTGCATCTATACGGCCACTTGAATTACACCCAGAGCTGCTCTGGCAAATTCATAACCAGCTTCCTCAGGAGCCCCAGAATCGGCCTCAGCCTCACACTTAGAGCCACCTCTCTTTATCCAATTCTGCCACCTTTGTCCCTGAGGATGAGAGCGGGGGAGGCTGGGGCGAATGAACTTGTCAATGGTCCTTGCTGACGGCATGGCATCCCCCGACTGAAGAAAAGAAGGGCGAAGGGTGGGGAAGCCAATTCAGGTGGGTGACCCCCAAGTCCTAGCAGACAAGGCATCTCCATGTCTGACCCAGGCTGGGAGAGTGTGAGGGCAGGCTGCGGCCCATGCAGGGCACAGGGCCTGGCTCTGTTCTCTGGACCTTGGCTGGTGAGCCAGCCTTTGGGCGCCTGGTCAGCAGAGGGGCACAGAATGTACACATACAAAGGGGCTCAGCTGAGCACTCGAAACTGGGCATTTATCTCTCAGTCTACTCTGGCCTGCCCTGAAGGTGCTGGAAGCTTCCACGTATGACTGGCAACCAGGCCCCAAGGCCACCAAGCCTGGATACCCCCATAGCCAATTTCCACCGAGGCAGGCAAGTGAGAAGGATACCAGCCCTGATCCCGCCCTCAGCCCTCACTTCTCAGCTTGGGCTAACCCAGAGCCCGCTCCCCCGCCCTGGGTCCCCCAGTCTCTCTCTTTTCTTTTGCCCAAGTGACCAGGCTCACACTGACACCTAGTGGACAGACAGCAGCTTGCAGCTCCCAGCTCTGAGTAGCGGGCGTCACTCCTGCCATCTGCTGCGGGGACAGGGGTCCTCTGGAAGAGTGCTCACCACGGGCTTGCGAAGGCACATGAGATCCCCAGGGGTCTTCCGGGGAGGGGCAGGGAGGTGGGGGGGCTGACTGATAAGAAGAAGCCACGGCTAGGGGTCGTGGCCCTTCTATCTGCACTAGGTGATGGCCACATGGCGTCCTCCCCACCCAGAAGTGCTGCAGCTGTCCCTGCCTTTCTCCCCCTGGTCTCCCTGCGCCTGGGCCCGACTGGCTGGCTCAGGTTTCTCCAGGGTCAAGGCCTTTCGCTGAGGCTGCAGCTTCCCCAGCTGGGCGTCTGGGAGAAATCCAGAACCTCAGCTCCTGAGGTGGCAGGGAGGGGGCTGGAGACCAGGGACACAAGCGAGGGGCCCAGGCCTCGCTCTGGACAGGGCCGTCTCCTCAGACTGCAGGAGCTAAGTGAGCTGGGGTCTGAACTAGGGAGGTAACACAACTCAGCCCCTCAGATACCCGGGGTCTCTCTTGCCTCCATACTGGAGCCCCCAGAGAGAGACAGAGTCCCACCACCACAACCTTTGAGAGTCCACAGGTCCCCACGGCACCGTGCAAGTCTGTCTCCTGCCTGCCCTGCCCACATGCCAGCTTGTCCCCAAGAGCAGCCGGGCCCTCTGGCTCCTTCTTGAGGAGCTCCGTCCCTGCCTGTCTGCCAGCCTCTCCCCCGGCCTTGACTTGTCCTTGCTGCTGCGGCAGCACTGCTCCCTCCTTGCCCTACACGGGGCAGGTGCCTCAGCCCAGCCTTGCGACCTTGACCTTCCTGTGGGCTTGGGGTCCCTACAGGGGCCGCCACAATCACACTCATCATTAGGGGGGCAGAAGGCAGCCGGGGGCCCTTCTGGTTCCGAGCACGTGCCTGCCCAGCAGGCCCGAGGGCGGCCTGGGTCCAGGGCGTGGGGGCAGGGGCTGGCCGGTTGGCATGGACACAGATGGGCAGCCTGCCCAGAGCAGAGGCCAGATGCCATCGGAATTGGATTAGGACCACATCGTGTCGGCTCTCAGCTAATCCACCCCTCCTTTCCAGGACTGCCTGTGGAGACCAGAGAGGGGAAGGGGTGTGGCCTGGTTTCCCGGGCAAACCCACTGCTGAGTTGGGCCCAAGACCCAGGTTTCCTGACAACAGAAGCATCGTCTCCAGGATGGGCTCTGGAATCCTCTCGCATTGCTACAAATGCTGGGCAGGCAGTGGACTGATGTTCTTATTACCAGGAGACAAAGTCCCCCTCCTCCAATGTGGAATGAGCCTCCCTGGGCTCCCCAGCCTCCCCACCCTCCACATAACACCTGCCACGTGGGGGAGTGCCTGCCTGCCACCCGGGCGGCCCCGAGTCTGCCCACCTTGCCAGGGGGTCAGCATGGGGCCTGGGGCACAACTAAGCCGGTCCCTCCCCGGCTCAGGCAGGAGTGAGGGGCCTGCGGCCTGGGTGAGGGCTCTGTGGTCAAGGCAGCGGGCCTGCCCAAGGCGTTTGGCCCAGCTGGGGCATCCAGGGAGTGAGAGGCACCCGCTCCTGGCGCCCAGACAGCTCAAGCCTGAGGACCTTGAGAGTTGCTGGGCTTGAAGAGAGGAGGGGCCCGTCCCCGTGCTGCTCATTCTTTGGGCAGCAGCCCCAGGCCTGACTGGCCCTGCCACAGTGGCCACGGGGACCCAGATGCTCAGAGCCAGTCCGAGGCCGGGCCACCCACCTGTGCACCTGCCCTTCTCTGAATCCCCCTACCCCCAGGCATGGGCGAGCTCCCGAGCTCCGTGGCAGAATCGGGCAGGTTCCCAGGGGCCTTGACATTTTAAATATTTAACAAGGCCTGACAGACAGAGGGAAGAACTGCCAGCTGAAGCCCATCTGCTTCCTTTGATCTGGGAGAGGCCAGAGCCCTTGTGGCTAAATGGCCCTCCACCCAGCCTCCTCTGAGCCCTGAGGCCTCAGGGGGTGGGCAAGGAGGAGGGGAGGAAAGAGATCCTTTGGCCTGGAGCCGAGCCATCTGCCCCGACAGCACGCTGCCCCAGGCTGGCGCGTGCAGCGGGCAAGGTGGGGTGTCCGTGGGCGCGCTTGCTTCAGAGCACACAGCAAGGGAGACCCGGGCAGACCCCGGGAAGGCCACTCTGCCTCAGAGCTCCGGAGCTGACCCGCCGGCCACCCCTCTAGCTCCACCCGCCCCCCCTCCAGCCTAGGTGCCACCGCAGGCAGATGGGTCAAGGCCAGAGCAATAGGATACTGTTTGTGCCCTAAAGTCTCTGAGTGGGCAGAGTGGGAAGGCTGAAGGAGTTGGGGGCCGCTCCTGGGCGGGAGCAGAGGAGATGGGGGGGCGGCCAGGGTGCCATGGGGATGGGCAGCTGATCGAGTCAACCCGTGCTGGCTGGGGCACAAGCCTGGCACTGGGCTGGGATAGGCAAGTGCCAGCCCGGCCAGTGAGTGCTGCGGCTCCTAGAATCTGGGGCTGGGCGTGGCTCCCTGGGGTCCCCGCCGCAGGGCAGACCTCAGCAGCCAGGGCCGGGCAGACTGGCACAAGGCAGGGCAGAGCTTTGCCTCTCACAGGGGAGAGGAGGGGACTGGAGATGGCAGTCAGGCCGTCCTCAGCCTTCCAGAGGGCACACACCAGGCTTCCTCTGCTGCCTCAGGCTTAGACCTCTTTGGGACACCAGTGACCAGTGCCACCTCCCATCGGCACACTGGGCTACTGCCCTACCTCTGGCAACCCGCCCTACCAGACCCAGGTGATCTTGTGCCATCCCTGGGCCATTCCCTCCCCCCCCCAAGGAGAGGCCTCCTACCCTTTCCTCCTTTTCTGATCCTCTTTGACCGAACACAGGGCTGAGCACACGGGGAACCCCCCAATATGCAGGCAGGGGCTGTATCTTCCTCTCCCGTCAATGAGAAGCCACCCTACTCTGCCCTGTTCCTTGGAAGAGATGCTGGGGTTTCAGGTGGGGCCCACTTGGCCTGCGTGTGTGTCTCCCAGGGTTCCCATCTCCTCCCTGCCCCTCTTTCTGTAGAGTCAAGAACAGCTGATTATAGAGGTTGGGGACAAGGGGCTCAGGCCACACCCCTTGAGGATCCTTGTTATCCAGAGGACAATAGTCTCATCACCCTGCAAAGAGCGTCTCCCCCTCAAGGGAAGTGGCCGAGGAGAGGGTCACAGTCAGGATCTGGTTGGCGGTGCCCTTGGGGTCACTGGGCCTTCTCTCCACAGAGCCCAAGACCCTGGCCTCGGAAGGTGGGGCAGAGTGGCAGTGGCACACGGCCCAGGGACTTACCCTCCGTGGGCGAGGTCTTCAGCCTCCTACAGAGCCCGCTGACGTCCCCATAGGCTTCCTGGATCTTCTGCAGCGCCTCAGCCCCTCGAAGCTCCATGAGGGAGCGCAGCTCTGCCAACGTGCACCCAAAGCCACCTGCGTGGGGGGCATCTCGCTGCTGGGGCTTGGGGTGGAACTCGATGGAACTGTTGGCCATGTCACCCATTCTGCCTGCTGGGCCTTCTCACAGGTGCAGCCTAGGCTCAGCCGCAGCTAGAGGCAGGCAGCCACCCACGGTCCCAGTGCCCAGGCAAAGTTTGGCGGTGGCGGGGAAGCAGTTAAAGGCGGACAGCTGGGGAGGAGGTGAAAAGAAGCCAGGGGCGCGGTTGAGATCAAAGTGAGGTCCAGTCTTCCAGAACATTTTCTGCAAATCTTTCAGTCTGAGCCATGACTTACCAAGTGCAAAATTCACCTCCCAAGCTGGGCCAGTGGCCCTCATGTCCTGCCAGGCCCTACCTGCCAGGCCCCTCCCCGGTCCTGCCCACCATGAGCACCCGGAGTCAGGAGGACTTGCCCAGGCGGGTTAGGAGGAAGTGCCAGTGCTTCCTGTCAGTGCCCTGTGCCTTCAGCACTGGCCAGTTGGGATATGGAGGTGCTCAGTGCACGTGGGAACCCCACCAAGGTGAGGGTGCTGTTTTGGGATGGGTCAGTGGTCAGTCTCCCCTGGTGCGAATGAATTACCCATGCCACAACTCCTCATGCTCTGTGCCATCCACCCCATCTCACTCCTGCTCTTGCCTGGTTAGGACTTGTCTTGAGCCGCTGGCATGCTACAAATCCTTGGTGGTCTTCGGACGCTGCCTCCGCAGCTCACCGTTTCAGGCCCAGAGCTGCGCAGGGCTCCAGGAAGTGGGCCGAGCCATGGGGGAGCCAGCTGGGCTCCAGGTCAAGGTGTTTCTGTGGCCCTGAAGGTACCTGGGGGGCCCGAGGGGGGGGGAGTGGAGGGAAGAGGAGGGGGAGAGGGGGAGAGAAGGGAGGGAGAAGAGGGAGGGTAGGGAGGGAGGATACACAGGAGAGAGCCGAAAGCAGCCACAGGTCACTGGCAACTCTGCCAACGCCCCGCCCCCCAGCACAGGATGCCCCTCTCCCCCTTCCTTTCTTTCCTCTCGATATCTAGGTAAGGGCCAAGGTCTCCCCACACGGACAGCATTCATCCTGCCTTGGGGCCACACCTCTTTCTCCCTCTGCAGGGAGCTGCACAGGGCTCCAGGGAGTGGGCCGAGCCATGGGCAGCTCGGTTCTCTAGGGGCCACTGGGCCCCCCCAGCTTCTTTCACCCACTTCTCCTTCCTTGGTTTCATGTGGGTGGGGGCATCTCCCAAGGTCATGTGCCAAACTCCCCACGTCCTCGTGGAACCAAACTAGTCTTGGTGTCTATGGCCTTGGCTTTCACATCGGCAAAGAGCCCTCCTGGCAGCTCAGTTTGGCCCTGACCCCTCACCTTTGGGGAAGCTCTTGGCTCAGAAGCAGAACTTAGCTACCCATCCAGGTTTCTGACCTAGAACTTTCCATGGAAACAAATAACCCAGAGCCCAGAGAAAGGCAAAAAAGGACAGCCAAAGACACATGGCCAAGTCCATGGCCTTTGCTTTCAGGAGAGCCCCTACCTCTCACTCCAAGCCCAGCAGGCTGGATCCTATGATCCCCTAATGGGTGCTGGGGGCAGAGAGTGTCAGCTGAGACTAGAATCTGATAAACAGTGGGCCATTCCCCAAGTATGACCCGACAGGGGGCTCTGAGTAGAGAGGCCTCAGCTGTCAAGAGAAAGTATGGGTACCCATGGCTGTCCCTGCCTGCGAGATCTGAGGGGCAGACGAGGCACTTCGGAAAATGTCCATGCAAAGCAATCCACATTTGAAAAGTCTGGGCACCTAAGTGTTAACTCTCTAGACACTTTCCACACGGAGGAGCCTTCACTACCGGGGATGTGAGACAAAATGGCAGACAGGCACGCACTGTCCTCTCACACTCCCACTCCCACGCATCTCTGCCCCTACCGTTTTTCCAACTGGTCATCTGACAAATATTCACTGAGCATCTACTACGTGCTTGGCACTCGCCTTGTGTACCGGGACAGGGGCTCAGAGTTACATCCCCGAGACTGAGTTACATCCCTCCGTCTGTCCAGTGGCGACACCGGGAACGAGCAGAGTGAGTGAGAACACGGCAGGTTCAAGGGTCCAAAGCTATGGGGTTTCAGGTGGGCGGGGGTGCGGGCAGCGCTCTGGGAAGGGGCACGTGGAGACATGGCCAGAAGGGATGAGGGCTGGGTAGAGGGGTCAGGACAGGAAGTGAAGCTTGCGTGGTGTGCCAAGCAGGGCAGGCTCCTTCTGGGGGTGCTGTGTGGATGTACCTCAGCCACCCAGATGATGGTGGGACCAGTTGCTCGAGGCAGTGACGGAGTTTTCAGCTGTCACCCGCACTCCTTGTCTCCTCCAGACAGCCTCGCCTCCCTGCCCCAGGACCTTTGCTTAGGACAATGCCCCTGTTGGGAGCTCCTCTGACCCTGAGCTCCAGCTGCCCCATGCCTCTCCGTTTCTGGACATACCCACTTGGTGCAACTGTCAACTTTGGGCTCTGCGTCCCTAGTCGCCCCAGCCTGCCGGCTGCTAAAGGGAGGGGTGGGTCTGGGTAGGCACCGCTTTGCCAGCCTTGGGCACGCCAACAGGCACAACCCCGGGAGCTGGCTTCCCAGTCTCCAGGCAGGCAGGGCAGCTAGGACAGGCCCAATCGGCGAGGCGTGCCATCCACGGAAGATGTGAGCAGGGCCCCAAGGCCCTGCCAACCTGGGAGAGTGGTGGTCAGCGCTTGCCCCAGGCTGACATCTCATAGGTAGGCGGGCCTATGCCTTGCATTCCACCACCCTCTGCACACGGTCCAAGGAGCCAGCTGGGTACCTGCGCATCCCCCACTGAGCCACTTAGGGACACCACGGGGCTCTGACAGGGAGGCCGGAGGAATGCTGCGTGGCTCTGGAGACCATTTGTCTCTCTGGCCCCCTCACCCGCTTGTAGCAGAGCGAGGAGCCTGTGGACTGGGCTCTTGGTTGATGCATGGGCCCGGCAGAAAAGTCTGTTCCTGGGAGCAGGGGTGCCCTGAGGCCAGAGACACAGTCACCAAGGCCTGGTGGCCCTCCCCTGCTGCCCACTCACCCTCCCTCCTTTGACCAGAGCATATCCAAGGCCAGCTCTCTTCTCCTTCAGCCCCCACTCCCCACCCCTGAGCCCACAGCTGTGGCCCAGACAGAACCACACCAGGTCCTTGGGCTGCTTCTGCCTGGTGTGGTCACAGCCATGGCTGAGTGGACCCACGGTGACTCACAGTAAGGGTAGTTGGCAGGGAGGCGAGACCTGGGCTTCTGATGAGGCTTAGCTGTGTCCCCTCCCTGCAGCCACTGCCCTCAGGCCAAGTCCAAGTTCCTGCTCCTCAGCTGGTCCTGCTGGCCCTCCCCACCTCAGAATTCCCCACCCCCACTGAATGGGCCTCCCCCCCGCATCGGGCAACTGCCACCACCCTGCTCTGGATCACCACCCTCCCTGGCGCAGGTGCCATGGCCTCAGAAAGCTCTTTCTACAGTCTGCCATGGGTCCTGCTGCACCTCCGTCCCAATCCTCCATGTCCATCAAGCCAAGACCAGATTCCTTCTAGCACCTTCCAGCTCCACTCCCTGCCCTGGCCTGTCCGGCCCCTGCCCACCCTGCCCCAACCACACAGCCTCTGTCCCAGCTCCACCTGCTGACCTCTTAGTCACAATTCAAGCGGAACATTCTCCAGAAAGTCTCTGCCAGTTCCCCAGCCAAAATCAATTGCTGCTCAGTCGGTAATCGCGCGACCTGTTCCTGTTTCACTCTGCTTGACACTGCAATGGTCCGTGAGCATGTCTCCCTCTCCCACTCGCTGGGTCCTAAGCTCCTGAGATGCATGGTGATTGACCTGCTGCCCACTCTGCCATGGCCTCAGAAAGCTCTTTCTACAGTCTGCCATGGGTCCTGCTGCACCTCCGTCCCAATCCTCCATGTCCATCAAGCCAAGACCAGATTCCTTCTAGCACCTTCCAGCCCTGGAGGAATGAGTGAGTGAGGGTCTGGCCTATGAAGGAGGAGCTCGGGGTCCCGGGAGGCAGAATCGCCATCCTGGAGGGCAGGCCAGGGTGGGGGTTGCCTGTGCTAACCTCCCTCATCTTCATGAAGGCAACAGGCCACGGGGCAGACAGGAGCCATCAGGGAAAGCAATGTTGAGCACCAGGTGGCTGCTGTAGACCAAGGAGCATATACCTCTCGTCTCCCTGGGTTCCCTTGAAGCTGGGGTGCCGACCTCCCTTGGTCTGAACCGGTGCCTACGCCTATCATTTCTGCAGGCCTGACAGAGAGTTTCCGGCCTGGGCCGGCTGCCGAGAACGGTCTGCAGGCACCCAAAGGCAGGGAACATACCATTTCTGCACTCTTTCATCTTGCAGACCTTAATTGGCTTAATTGAGTCGAGAGCCTCCATGGTGGGGGGTCGGACCTTCCGGCATTTGCTCCATTCCGGCACAAGTTGGCCAGCCTTGTGGGGGAGTGCAGACGGCTAACGTTGGCTACCCTGGCCCACCTCCCTTTTTCTGTGGGCTGTCAACAGGTCGCTGTTCAGGGGGTGGCTGGAGCATTGAAGGAGACAGCCTGAGTGCAGGCCTACCACCCAACCACCTTCTGGACCTCTCCCTCCAGCAGGGCCCAGATACCCTCACTACACCCCAGGCGCAGACTGTCCTTCCTTCCGGCAACTTAAATCCGCCCAAACAGAAGTCTGGGGTCCTCCTTCTCTGGGGTCACCCCTCCCTGGCCACCTCTAATTGGGCTTTGGGGGCACCTCCAACTGAATGACCCTGGACTCTCCCCAGCCCTGGGCAGCCCACCACCCTCCGGGAAGTTAGGAACTTCCTGGATGAGAGCGGCGCCTCTACCCCAGGCTCCCTCTCTCAGGATCCCACTCTGACCCTGAGTTTCAAGCCATCAGCAGCCACAGGCCCACTGCTACCTGCCGACATCTCCGAGTACCAGTCTTGAGCAGGCAAGCTTCCCTCACCGCACCCTCCAGAGCACACTGTGCAGGCCAAGAGAACCCTCCCGACTTCACAGAGGGGAAACTGAGGCTCAAGAAGTCTCCTGCTTTTGTCCCGCTGGCCACGTGGCCCAGGATGAGTCACGGCTGTCCATGCTGGGGCACTCTGATGACACTCCTCGAAGGCTCCCCGGCAGGCCCAGGCTGCTCTCCATCGGCCACCTGTTTCACGTGGGGCAGCCTAGCCACGCC